CTCCTCTCTCCCCTTTCCACTCCTTCTTTCGCTCCTCCTCTTCCCCACCCCCGCCCTCTCTCCTATCTCTCTTTTCTTCCCTTAACTCTCCTCTACTTCACATTCTTCATCTCATTTACTTGGTGTATTTCAGCTCCTGAGCAAGCTCCATTTTATGTTAATGGTATTTATAATACTTTTCAATATACATATTTAATTTTAACATATATCTTCCTCCTCCTTTTTTTAAAAGAGAAAAAATGTATACATATATAGTAACTGTGTTTTTTACCCGCCCTCCCTCTTTAGCCTATTTTTGGCTGAGATGTAGACCTGGTTTCAATTCCTAGCTATTCTCATCATTATATTTATATAATTATGCATTCTTACATCCCCAAATTTGTGCTTCTGTCTTTAAATATCAGTAATTTCCCATTTTAAGTATATTTCATGTTCCCTCTCCATTTTTCCATATCTTGGCTTAGGTTACCCTTAACTGACTTTAAATAATCTTACTATTCAGTGTTCATTACAGTTCCCTTAATCTACTATCTAGAATAACAAGCGGTACACATCTCACTTTGTTCATCATCTTAGAAGTTCTATATATGTCCATGTTTTGTATATTTTAACCTATGCTTAATTGTCTTTCTATTGTCATATTCAATCAATTAGCAACTCAGTTTAATTATCATGTATAAAAGTGCATCACAAATCTCTGCTTTACCATCTCCCCATAACAGTTTCATATTTGTCCATATTCCATATATTTTAACCTTTATTTAATTATCTTTCCATTGTCATATTCAAACCGTTAGCAACTCAATTTTATTGTCATGTTTAGGAGTAAACCTCTTTACCTTAGCTTTATATTTTCCTATATAACAATTTCTAGTTGTCTGATTTTTTCCTAGTACCGTAAGTCTTTTGTTCCACTTCTCTATTCCTGTCTTCTCCATTTTCTTTATTTCACACATCCACCCTCTTCAATTTTCCCCAAGCCACTGTCAAACCCAAATAAATCTTTTATATTTTCCTTTGTTGGGGCGTAACTCCCTTCTTCAGTTTTCGCTATGCCACTGTCACCCTCCATAAGTCTTTTGTCTGCTTTTTATTTCCTTTTGTTGGGACACATCCCCCCTTTACCCAATGTCGAACCCAATGAAGTTTTTTGTCTGCTTTTTATTTCCCACCATTTCTATCCCTTCATTCTTCCTCCCTCCTTCTTCCTTCACTTCTTCCTTCAGTTCCTGCTTCTCTGAGTTTAGAATTCTATTTAGACTTGATTTTAATGATTTATGCATATTTTTTATAATTTCATGTAGTTCGTCAAATTCCATCTTTCCATAATATCCAGTTTCAAAGTTACAGTTAATTATACAGTCAATTATCTTATTTCAAAGTTCTGGCCCACCTTAAATTTAGCTAATTCAGCTAATGTGAAGCGGAAGAGAAGCAGGACCCATCTTGATCTTTGCAAAGAAAAAAATTTCGTATTTTCCCAGTTCTTGATTTTATTATTATTTTCCCCCCTTGCTACCTTCCACTTCTCGTTGGTTATAGTTGCTCAGAATATATTAATTGGAACAAACTTGTATACAGCTCAACTCGGGTATGTTTCTCTTTGCTTCCTTCTTTCCCAAGTTCTGATTTATGACAGTTGGTTAATTAAATCTTCCTGCACAGGCAAGATTAGGTTATCAGTTATCAGTGAGAAAATAGTGCTTTTTTCTTGATTTTTCCCCTTGTTACATTCCACCTCTCATTAAGTGGAGTTGCTTAAGATATATTAGTTAGAAGAAATTCGGATGAAGCAAATCTCTTTGATATGTTTGGTTTCTATTTCAAATCCAAAACCAAATTTAGACTTTGTATTTAAGTGGGTTTGTTACTTCTCTACTTTCTCCTTTTCTGTCCAAATTATTTCAAGCAAATGGCTTTTTGGGGGCTTGTGATTCAACCTTCCCTTTTCCCCTTTCTTTCTTTATTTTATCCAAAATCCAAAATCTGGATTTTGTTTATTAATATTATTCATACTTTCAGGATTTTTTGCCTTTTCCAAGTTTTGATTTATGACTGTGGGTTAATTAGATCTTCTTACCAGTTATCATCTTGTCCCTGTACGCTCCTGCACAATTGCTTTGGCTGGAAGCTAGCTTCTTATGCAGCCATGTTGCCATGCTGCCGCCCCTATTCCAATTTTTGCCCTCCCCAAAGAGCAAATCTTTGACCTGCGAGGGACCTGTTGCCTCCCTCTGGGTCTGATGAAACACTGCCATTCTTCGCCCCCCTCCTGGGGGGGGGTTGATCCAAAAAGGATCTCGGAATTGGTTTGTCAGACAGGGTTCATGTGAGGATCTTCAGAGCTCACCCCCTCCTCAGATCTGTTCAGCTGGAGAACTTCTAGTCAACCTTCCTGACTTCAATATTGTTTAATTAATTTGGCTTCAAACATTCAAGACTTAATATCTATGGTAACACAAATTTATCTAGAACAAATAAATTTACTACTTTCACAAATTTCAGATTAATGTATTTCACTTGAGTGACTTTTATCATGTCATTCAAATTAACCCCATCAAATTAACTTTCAAAGCTGTCTCTCATCTTGCTAAATTAATTTATTTTTTAGTTATTATATTCTCTTTCTGATTTTTTTTCAACTATCTCCAATTTGATTTTGAAGACTGAGTTTTTCTAGTCTTTTATGGAGTTGTTCTCAGCATTTTCTCCTATTTATTTATTTATTTGTTATGATTTTTTTTATGCCGCCCATCTCCCCTGTAAGATGACTCTGGGTGGCCTACAAAATAAAGTTCTGAAAAGAAGATATGAAAGATCCAATCTGGGTCAGTCATCAGGACCAGAGGTTTTGTCTTCCGAATTTTCAGACTCATGCTGGAGCTCATCTTCAGGGAACTTCTCCCTAATAGAGTATATGCTGTTCTGTGTGTGGTATTTATTTGGTGCCTGTTGTATGTGACTTTTTAGATGCTGATTGGGGTGTGTTGATGGCTGGCTTTTAAGTCAGCAGTCATTTGCTTGTGTTGCTCAGCTCCTGTCTTCTAAGTACTTGATACGCTGGTGGTAAATCAGCACTCCTGTTGACAGATGAGGGGCTTGGTTTCCCAGACTTCAATCATTTCCTTAGCTGTTTTTGTGCCTGCTCATGCAACAATCTGCATGGTGGTTAATGTGATCATGTGGTCATGTGATCTAAATTCAGAGGCTTGGCAGCTGACTCATATTGATGATGGTTGCAGTGTCTTGGATCACCTGATCACCTTTTGCGACCATTTGACAAGCAAAGTCAATGGGGAAGCCAGATTTACTTAATAACTGTGTTACTAACTTAACAACTGCAGTGATTCATTCAACAATTGTGACAAGAAATGTCGTAAAATGGGGCAACCGTCACTTAACAAATGTCTCACTGAACAACATAAATTTTGGATTCAATCGTGATCATAAGTCAAAGAATATCTGTACATCCATCTGATAGAATCACTACATATCTTTCTTTTTTTGGAGAGCCTGTAATTAATTGACCAATAACATGAAATTAGCTTACTAAAATTTCCTTGATCAGATGGTAGTCCTGCTAAAATCTCTACTTATATTCTGTACAAGTGCTGACTTCCATTTTCTTTTGAAGTCTATCTTGAAGTTTAAAAAAATGATCAGTATCACTTTGCTAAGCCATTCGCGACAGGATGTAAATCTGAAACTCGGGTGGCCTTCATGCTTTCAGAACTGAAAAAGTAGCCATTATTTCTTCGGTCTAGTATACCATGAATAATTATACCATGAATAATAATTTGATGCCTGTAACACCTAGTAGTGATTAATAACTCTCAGTCTGAAATCTCCATCTTGAGATTGACTCTGCAAATTGAATCTGCAAACTGTCATGACTGGAAAACCTGCCTCAATTGCTGAAATTTTGGTGTGCTTCTCCATTCATTTTTTTTTCTTTTGGGGGCCATTTTGCTTGCAAAATCAGAGAACTCTAAACTTAAGAGGTGGGGGTCCTTTGAGGCAGTGTTAGCAACTGTCTCAACAGATGCCTGCAGAAGGTAAATGGTTTGCCCTTACCTTCTTCCTAGGGATGAGATAGAGTCAAAGGCCTAAGGTCATCCAGCTGGTTTCATATTTAAGGCAGAACTAGAATTCCTGGTCTCCCGGTTTTAGCCTGTTGCCTCAGCCACTACATCATGTTTATTCACACACATACAAATATATGTGTATGTATGTATGTATGTATATATGTATGTACATATATATACAGAAGATACACATTCATATAATACAGGGGTGTCAAACTCAATTTCATTAAGGGACGCATCATGGCTGTTTTTGAACTCAAGAGGCCGAATTTATCTAAAAAGAGAAATCTTCCAGGCAGCCTGAAGACATAAAGGACCCAGGGAGCAATATTACTTATGCTTAGATAAACTGTTATTAGAACTAAATATCTCCCATATTAATATTTGGAACAGTTATTTTCATTTCTGCAAAGTCTCTGTTATTACTCTGTCTTACTGTGATGTATGGTGCATACATACATAATGCATTTGTGTATACCTGTGTATGCCCAGATACAGATGCAGATTTATACCTAAATTATATTAACAGTACAACATAACCTTTGTTACGCTTTCCATTCAGAAATTATTGGGGGGCGGAATCAGGAGAAAATTTAACACTGAACAGTTTGTTTGTTGTCCCAAGCAGCTGTCAGTCACTGAAGCAAAAGAGCAACAGGAGCTGAAAACTTTGTTGCGCTGGCACCGTCTTATGGATGAAGTGCAGAATTCAGAAGGGGATCTGCAGGTTTTAAGGTACAGTTCAGACTGCTTGCTTTGACTGTGTCTTCCCCTTCCAGGTGTTTTTCCTCTGAAAACTAAGCATGTCCAAATGATCAGATTAAGTCATTGCATTCCCCCACCCCACCCAAAGAGGATATTGGAAAATTTGAATGAGCCAAAGTGATGGAAGGATATTGAAGACAAATTAAACAAAACAAATCTGGAATTCAGTCCTGTGCAACTCAGCAGGATTTATTTCTGACTATATAAGTTTGGGCTGAAATTTGCTACTGGAATCATAAAAGGAAACTTAACCGTCTTAAATGTTGATTCCAGAAAAGAATAAAAGATTTCCTTTCTCACATAATTTATTTATTTTTTTGAACGACAAATTCCGTTGGACAGAGTTTTCTGCAAAACCATCACAGACAATACCAACTGAGACTATTAACATGTGGAAGACTTATTTAAAGAATGCGTGTGTTTCTGTGTGCATCACTGTCTGTGTGTAATTCACTGATTGGTTCTAAAATATACTGGCTCTATTATGTACTGTTGAATGCAGATCTGAAGCTGGATTTGGCACTACAGTTTACCTGTGCTTATGCTCCAAGTCTTTAAAGTATAAACCCCATTCTATGAAATTGTTCAGAGAAATAGTTAATTCATGGTTGGCTTTGCTTGTGTTTTATTATTCCATGGAACGACTCCAGCCTTCCAATAGCATGCATAGTTATGCATGGAATTCAGATTGGAGTATACTGCTATTCATGTATTTATGTGTAATGCTTCACAGAAGGTTGCAGCCCAAATCTCTAGTCTAGACAATTGTGTATAGGAAGTCTCTGTGCAGAGCAGGACTTTATTCTGAAACAGTATATCCACTGAAATTCATTCCACATTGGTTTTCGACCTACCCCTGTTTGAAAATTAAACTTTTCATACAAGGACTGTATGCAGAGAATTCATTATCAACTTCTCCCTATGTTGACACTTAAGTGATAGGTCTCTTCTGCCCTTCAGATTCAAAGGTGAAAATCTGTTTTTTCTAGCATTGGGCTACAGTTAGAAAGGGCAGTATGACCATTATGGCCATTTTTCACATGAGCGTCCCCAAGGTGTTTTTTCAAGAGGCAACTGGACTTTTTTTGTTTTTCTTTGAAGATATTCTGCTTCTCATCCAAAGAGTTTATTCAGCTCTGAAGAAGCTTCTTGGATGAGAAGCAAAATGTCTTCAAAGAAAAAAAACAACAGAAAGTCCAGTTGCCTTTGAAAAAGCACCTTTGGGACAACCAAGACGTGGATGACTGAGAATCTTCATAGACATTTTTCACATGAGCTTTGGTCATGTGCTTAAAATTTGGACACTTGGCAACTGACACATATTTATGACAGTTACATGTCCTGGGGTTACATGATCAGCTCCCAACAATAAAAGTCAAAGAAGAGAACCAGACTCGCTTAACGACAGCATAATTCATTAACAGCAGGGATTCATTTAATAATTGTGACAAAAAAGGTTGTAAAATGGGGCATTTAAAAACTGCTTTGAATAGCAATGTAAATTTTGGGGCTCAGTTTTGGTCAGAAGTTGAGGACTATCTGTACAGCTGAGAAGAGCAATATGAGTGTCCCTCATCTTTGAAGCTCCATTTTTCCCTCAGCTCTAAAGGCTACACAACCCTAATGAAATCACCTCCAAAGATGAGGTGCTACGGAGCTTCTCAAAACCCATTTTATAGAGTTTGAAATGTTAAAAGAGATCTATATTAATCCTGAGGTTCCATTAGCTGATATAACTTCCAAACTTAGAGCCAAGAACTGATACAGATTTTTTAAGAACATTTAAAGGATTAGTTTCACCTTTTAAAAATCTTCCTCAGTTAAATTAGGCTCAAAGGGAGTGGTTAGATCAAAATAATGTCATAGTTGTGGATTTCTACTTTTAACATTTCTCTGCTACAATAGTTGTCCTGAGACTCTCACTGTGTCCAGCTCCTGTTTGACCTTTATAGTAGCTGTTCAAGTATTATGGGTGTTCCTGAAAGCATAAATCTAAGTCCAGCAAGAATTAGTGAAGCTGGTTTTATAATTATAATAGAAAGGAGATTGATGTACAGGACATGCATTACATTTTTAGGCCAAACCTACCACCTAGCTAGCTATATCCTGTGAGGAGGAGAGTCTAAGACCTTATGCTCTGTGTGAGTGTGAAGGCTGAAGGAAGTCACCCATGCTGGCTGGAGAATTCATTGAAGTCATTAAAGTCATTAAAGTTGTTGATGTTGAGAAGCATTGTTTTAAACAAACATCAGGCAGAGTGTTAGTGAATAAGGGGCACAGATAAATCCTTAACCTTCTATCTACCCTGTACACCACAGTGTTGTCAATAGATCATAAGGAGCTGAAGAGCCTGTGCGATTGGATTCACACCTCCAACATGCCTAGTTTCCCTTCCCATTTAAATAATCACATTCAATTCTCATATTTCCAAAAGTGCCATTTGATAATAGATGTATATTGAAGAGGCTGCCTTATCATTATCTTCCATGCAGCTTCTGATTGACAGGGTGACTGATGATGGTTGCTTTTCTTACAGTGTATACAGGATTGTGTGTTTGTGTGGGTGTGGGTGTGGGTGTGTGTGTATTGTTGTGATAGAGGCCTAACTGTGGAAGATGGAGAGAGCCAGATGTGTGTGGGTGTGTGTGTATTGTTGTGATAGAGGCCTAACTGTGGAAGATGGAGAGAGCCAGATGCTTCAGTTCGGATATCTGAACAGAATTGGACTTTGTAGCTTTCTGTACCCTTTCAATTCAATTACATTTTAATTTTTAAAACTGCTTTTTAGCTACTTTGAGAAATCTGATGAAGCACATATATACATATGAGATTCTCTTATAGAGTGTAATCTGACATTGATGGCAGCTTTTTAAATAAGTTCAATTTTAATAGCATTTTTCAACTATTAAAACTTGTGATATATTGCCATATAAATGTCAAAATTATAACATAAAGCCAGCATTTAGCCGCTATTTATGCTGGACACAGAAAGAAGAAAGAAGAAAGAAGAAATAAAGTAGATAAAGGGATTGGATCAACTCCCAGTATCAAAAGACAATGAGATAAGCTAAAATAATTTGGTGTAATTTATTGGCTAATAAATATAACAAAAAAATTTAATGGACTGCTGCTGGTTTTTAGTTTGCAAAACAGCAAGTGGTGTATTTGTCATGGGATCAAGGTGATCCCATGAACTCAGGACACTACAACTGTCATAAATACACACCAGTTGTCAAGTGTCTGAATTTTGATCACCTGACCATGTGGGTGTCTAACGGTCATTTGAAAAATAGTCATAAGTTATTTTCTCAGTGCCATTGTACCTTTGAACAGTCACTAAACAAATGATTATAAGTTGAGGACTACTTGTGTAGAAACCAGCTTTCATCAGAACTTATATAAATGCTTCACTATAACACGTTGTCATTTGAACTGAAGCAGAACAAGTTCTCTGTGTTTAAATCTATAGTATGCTGTAAACAGAATAATTTAATGATACGGCTAGTATAAAAATTCTGTAAATAAATGCATTTCTGGCAGAGTGACCATTCATTGATGAAGAATCTTATCAATCAGAACTGGTAGAGGATATTGCAGACCTCCTAAATGAAAATTTGGAGACCAAAACATAGTATGTCATTGTTTTTTAAAGGAAGAAAGTATAAAATAGAATAAAAATGAGGGAAAACCTGGCACACTTTAAACATGGTAGACATAGATGAAATAAAATGTTTTTACTTGATAGGTATGGCCTTGTGAGCTGCTAAAATGAAGTCTGGATAAAAGCAATCAAAATGTGTAGCTGGATTTTTTCCTCTCTCATCTAGAATGTTTCCATCTCTTCTCATTTTCCTTTGCTATGATGTGATGATCCTGTCTGTATAACATATCTTAGCAGAATGCCACATGATGTGATATAATGTCTGGGAGAAGAGTTAAGTAGCTTCACACCAGCTTAACTTGGGCTATCGGTTCAGTGTCAGCTGTTTATTTACCATGCACACAATATTATAGCAAAAAATTGTATCGTTGCACTACTTTTCCACAAAGAGAGTTTCATTGAACAGAAGTTTCAGAACCTAATCCGTGAATCAGATATTATGTTGTTCCTGTTTTTAATCAGGTGTTTTGATAATTAAATTTTATGAAATAATAAATATGTTTCTGTCACTTTGTCTAGAATGATGTTATTGTTTTGTACCCTTTTAGGCCAAACAAAGAGAAAACGGGCAAAGTGACTGAATCTGGTTCTTCTGTAGTCAAACATGGCCTCAATGCCGAAAAAATCTTCATGCAGGTTCACTACCTAAAGGTCAGAATGCTTAATGCTCTTATTGGAAACCAAATGTTTTATGCACAGAAATTTAATGTTCTGATATTACATTTTCAAAGCCCCAGAATATCATTTGAACCTGTTCAAATTTTGTGATTTGGTATAGTGCATTCAGAAATGCAAGTGTATGTATCTGCGCCATATACCATATTTTTCAGACTATAAGACACACCGGAGTATAAGATACACCATGATTTTTTTTCCAGAAAATGTTTTATTTTTTATTCTCTTACAGAACATTTTAAGTATACATTCACATAGTTGTTAATTTTCTATACATTTATCATTCTTATACATTTATTATTTCATTTAATAGATTATAATATACAATTTGGGTTGCTTTATTTACCATCCGTTCTTCCTGTCCCTGTTGTAACACCACATCCCTTTCTTTTCTACCTCCCTCCCTTCTTTCTTTCTTCTTCCTCTTCTTCCCCTTCCTTCTTCCCTTTCTCCCCTTCCTCCTCTTCCTCTTCCTACCCTCTCTCCTTCTCTTCTTCTTCCTTCCATCCTCCTCTCCTTGCCTCTTTCTTCTTTTCCCCATCTTCCTTTTACGTTCTCCTCCTGTCTCTTTTTCTTTTCTATTATTGTAGGTGTCTCTTTCCAGCCTCAGTTTATATTTCCTTGGGATGGTATTTCTGCAGACCCAAATATAATTTTATATCATTTCTTATTCCCTTATCTTTGCTAATCTATCCTAGCTATATTTTCCTCCCCTTTATATCTCACTTTTGGCAGTATAATTATATATTTAATATTTTCTTTTCTGTTTTCCCCTTCTTCCCCCCTTCCTTCCATTTAACAGTGCCTCGTCTGGGTTCTATATCTTCTCCCTATTTTCTTTTCTAGTTTCCTTTCTCTAGCCCATCATAGATTCTTCCCCATGTCTTGAAGTACTCTGATTCCTCTTTATCCTTTATTTTCATTGTCAACCTATTCATCTCTGCACAATCTAATCTTTTTTATTATCTCTTCATCTGTTAGTAGCTTATTTGATTTCCAATTTGGGTAAATACAATTCTTGCTGCTGTAGTTACGTGTATAATCAAATAGGTATCCACTTTCTTGAATTTCTCTGGGATAATACCTAGTAAGAATATCTCTGGTCTAAATTCTATTTCTTGTTGTAACATTTTCTTTAATCATACTCTTATCTTAGTCCAATATTCCCTTGCTTCTGCACATGTCCACCACATATGATAGTAGGAGCCTATTGCTTGTTGACACTTCCAACAATTCAGTGATTTGTCTTTAGATATCTTTGCTAATTTTCTGGGTGTCATGTGCCATCTATAAAACATTTTGTATAAGTTTTCTTTATAGGCCGTTGACGGGTAATTTATAGTTCCTTTCCCATAGTTGTTGCCACTTTTCTAGCTCAATCATGTGGCCAAAATTCTTTGCTCAGGTTAACATTGTATCTTCAACCACTTCTTCTAAGCTAGTTCTTAATAGGTACCTATATAGTTTATTAATTTTTTTTCTTCTGTTCCCATAAACATCTTATCCAGCTCCGAAGTTCCTAAGATAAAACCATATTCCCTTTTATCTTTTTCATATCTTGCTTGTATTTGCCATTGTGGAAACCATCCTATATCAATCCCTTGTTTTTCTAATACTTCTTTTTGTTTTAATTCCCCCCTTTCTGTTAAAATATCTTTATATCTAGTGATATTTTTCATACTACTAATATTTGAATGTGTCAATGCTTCCATTGTTGAAAGCCACATTGGTATTTTTAAATAGTATTTCCCTTTCACTCTTTCCCATATTGTTAACAATCCATTCCTTACATAATGTCTTTGAAAATAGCCATGTACCTTACTTTTACCATACCACAAAACGGCAGGCCAACCTAGTTGCAAATCATGACCTTCCAATGTCAATAATCTTGTATTACTCAGTAGAATCCATTCTTTCATCCAAGCTAATCCTGCTGCTTGATAATACAATTCCCAATTTGGTAATCCAAATCCAACCTAGTTGCAAATCATGACCTTCCAACGTCAATAATCTTGTATTACTCAGTAGAATCCATTCTTTAATCCAAGCTAATCCTGCTGCTGGATAATACAATTCCCAATTTGGTAATACAAATCCACCTTGAATTCTTGCATCTTGCAACATTTTTATGTTAATTCTTGCTTTTTTCCCCTGCCATATATATTTCCCCACTATTTTGTTCAAAGGATTTTTTCTCCAATTTTATTGGTATTGTTTGGAATAGGTATAGCAATGTTGGTAGAATATTCATCTTTACTACTGCTATTCTTCCCACCAATGATAATTATAGGTTTTTCCATCTTTCAAAATCTATTTCTATTTGTTTTCTCACCTTATAATAGTTATCCTCCTTTAGTGTTACACACCTTGATGTCAATTGAATATCCAAATATTTTACTTTTTTCACCATCTGTATATCCAGTTTCCCTATCAACTCTCTTTTCTGTTTTTCTGTCATATTTTTCACCAAAATTTTTGTTTTATCTTGATCTTGATCTTCAAGCCCACTATCTCCATATCTTCTATTATTTCAACTGTTTCTATTGGATCTTCCATAATAAACACCAAATCATCTGCAAATGCTTGTAGCTTATATTCTTCTTTCTTAACTCTCATCCCTTTTACCTCTTTATTTTGTCGTATTTCTCTGTTCAAAAGCTCTAGTGTCAGTATAAATAATAATGGCAATAGTGGACAACCTTGTCTAGATCCCTTTGTGATCTCTATCTTTCCTGTCATCTTACCATTTACCATTACCTTTGCCGATTGGTTATTGTATATCGTTTTGATCATATTTATAAATCCCTCACCAAATCCCATCATTTGGAATTGCATTATCATAAATTACCAGTTCATATTATCAAAGTCCTTTTGTGCATTCAAACATAGCAGTGCATTTGCTTCTCTGAGTGGGCTTCGTAGTATTCTAGCGTATTTAATACAATTCGTATATTGTCTCTGATCTGTCTCTTATGGAGAAATCCATTTTGGTCTGTGTGTATAAGTTCGTTTAGGAGTCTCTTTATTCTTTCTGCCATTATTTATGCAAAAATTTTATAATCTACATTTAGTAATGAAATAGGTCTGTAATTTTTTACTTGTTGTAGGTCTAACTCGTCTTTTAGTATTAGCGTTATATATGCCTCCCTCCATGTTTCTGGTATCTTTGCCTCCCTTAGTAAGTCATTAAATGGTTCTAACATTACATTGCTTAACACTTCTTGTAGTGCTAGG